AATTCCATATAAGGTGTTATCTCTTTTTAGTGGTATTTTAAGCACTAAAATATTATGGTATTTAAAAATAACTTCTAGGGGGCCGGCCCGGTGGCGCACTGCTATAGTGCGCTGCTTGGGAAGCGTGGCGGCGCTCCCACCGAGGGTTCGGATCCCACATACAGACCGGTTCCCGCTCACTGGCTGAGCGAGGCGCGGGAGCAACACCGAGGGCTGCGATCCCGTTGCCGGTCCCGGTCTGGTACGGGGGCGACACTGAGGGTTGCGATCCGTTGCCGGACACGGAAAAAGACAAAAAAAAAAAAAAAAAAAACTTCTAGGTCTGGCTAGTTAACTTAGCTGGTTAGAGTGTGACTTTGTAACACCAGGGTTTGGATCCCTCTACCAGGCAGCCACCAAAAAAATCAATTAATCAATTAATTAATTCTAAATATATTGAAAAAAAAATCCAAAAAATTTCTAGTTGATAAATCTAGAACTAATACTTAAAATATAGTTTAAAAAAGGAGTATATAGGGGCCGGCCCGGTGGCGCACTGGATAGTGCGCCGCTTGGGAAGCGCGGCAGCGCTCCCGCCCGAGGGTTCGGATCCCACATACAGACCGGCTCCCGCTCACTGGCTGAGCGAGGCGCGGGAGCAACGCCGAGGTTTGCAATCCCGTTGCCGGTCCCTGGTCCGGTACGGGGGCAACACTGAGGGTTGCGATCCGTTGCCGGACACGGAAAAAAAGACAAAAGACAAAAAAAAAAAAAAAAAAGGAGTATATAAAATCTACACATGTTGGTGTCTTTTAAAATCCATTTTTCATCTTTCTCATCAAATTAATAATACTTGCTAATTCTGGGATATCCATGTATTCCCTGTCAATCTTTTTATCTCAACTACTTTGAATATTCATAGTGAACCTTAGTGATTCCATCAATGCTTAAAAGAAGCCATATATACAATTCAAATTCATTATCATTACTGATATTTGGTCTGGTAATTTGGTGCTGCTAATGGCAGGGCTATTAGATTTAAATATAGGATACTACAGATATGACACCTCCTTTCACTTTAAAAATTTTAAAATTAATCTTTTCTTCTGAGATTATAAATTTCCATTAGTAAATTGTAGAATGTCCACTAGTTTTCCCTTTGGTTTGTTTTACTCTGTGGTTACAGAAAATGCCATGGAAAAATAAAGTTATTTTAATGTAAGTTAGACTAGGTTCACAGATAATTATTTCATACAAGTAAAAAAAATCAATAACAATTTATTCATGTTACTTAGATAAGAGAATAATTTTAAGAAAAATATTAAGAATAAATTTCAGGTTTATGAAGGATTGATAAGAGATGTAAGGAACAAATAGAATTAGAAAGTTATTAAGTAGAAAGAAATACTTTATAACTGTTCTGCTCAATGAGGAGAAACTCATGTTGGAGTTTCTGTATTTTTAATATGTAGCAATTAAACATAGCCTCTACATTCCTAACAGATAAAAATAAAGGGACTGCCCGGTTAGCTCAGCTGGTTAGTGTTTGGTGCTGATAACACCAAGGTCCAGGGTTCAATCCATGTACCAGCCAGCCACCAAAAGAAAAGAAAAAGATACTTAGCACCAAATAAGGAGGACTGGGAGGAGTACTTAGCATATTTTATATGCAGGAATGTATAAATAAAAAAGAATGTATATAGATGGGGCCGGATTATATTAACTAACACTCTAGTTCTATGGAATGTCAATTAAGCTGTTTCTTGATATTTTATTTAGTAATATGGTAACCGAAAAGTCTTTATAACTATTTTAAGTACATTTATAATATTCCCACGAATATTCTTTAGTGCTTTTCTGGGAATGCTTGGAAATGGTAATTAGTGTTTAGAAATGTAAAATGTTCTTGATATCATTATTTTTATGTATTTATATTTTAATGGGATAATATTAATTTTTTATCCTTGGTAAATTTATGAATTAAAATATAAGTAGGTAGTTTGGCTTATTTATAGTTTCAAGGAGGAAAGTTGTTAGAGCAGTCTTCGTAGAAATAGCATAGTTACCTCTAAACCCTTCATATTTTCCCTGTATCAGATAATGCTATTGTGATAATATATATTCTAAGTACTTTGAGAAGTAAATCTTTTTTTCTTCAACCTACATTTATTTGCCAATTTAACTTTAATATAACTCAATATACATGTCATATTTTGGCTTCTCACAAGTCAATTTAATAAAAAATTTGGATTTTTACTACATGCAGGGAATGCACTATGGTAGGTGTTGGGAGGGTCTAAGATTAGACAGATATTGTTAGTGCTCTCAAGGGGCCCACAGTCTTTATCCTCCACTTCATCACCTCACCTGGCATTATTAATGCTGGTGGGTAGTCAATCACTTGCTCACCAGAATGTAACATTTTTATGTGAAAGGTTCTATGCACCATTATCATTATCAGAGCATCCTTGATACCAGTGAAATAATTTTATAGCTTAAAAAAATTTATTTTATTTGTCTTAATGTAAGTGAAATCTTTGTAATTTGAGGACCAAGCTGAGGTATGCTTTTAAAAGTAATATTTTTCAATTAAAGGATGCTTACTGCTGTCTTCTGACAGAATAATATTTTCAGTTTCATAATTTTGTGCTAATTAACTTTTTAATTTAATGAGTATATCTGGGAAACTGGAGGTAAAATGCAACAATAGTGTATTAGGTGTCCAAGGAAAATGTATAGAATATTTTAGCTTATGGAGAGTATGATATCACAGTTTGGCATACCTGTCCCAGAACAGACGCTCATGATTATTATTTCCATTGGGTTTTATAATCATGATGGTTTTTGATAAGATTTGCAAGATAAAATTATTTTTTCTCAAAGAGCAATGCTAGGTTATATCTCACATATTAAACTCATAAATACCACATAACTTGCTTTTGAGTTCATGATTGCTTTTCACCCGTTCTTTTCATCTTTCCTGGACAGGGATCTGTGAGATGTCCATATTCTGCATTCTCATGTGCATGATTTTTAGATTCAAAAGGGGTGAGTGGGAAAAAGACACTTTATAGAAATACAAGTTCACAGCATTCATGCTGCATGTGTTGTGTGTTCCACTGCTAATATTGTGTGCTGCATACTTGTATTTCTCTGAAAATGAAGAACATAGGCTCATATGCATACAAAAATTTGGCTTCATTTTTGCCAATAGTTGGAACAGATGGAGGATGTTAGACATAATACCTTTCCTATTTTTTCTTTAAAAATTCTGTAGTACTTTTCAAAAAAACAAGAAAAAAACTTTATGTTTATACCCAAAGTGGCTACAAATCAGCTCCTAAACTGTCACTTACATTAGCATCTAGATTTTGTAGTTTTAAAAAATCTTTTAAAATATTTATTTACTAAGAAAACATTGCATTACTGCATGATACAAAATTGATAAATTTTTCTTTAAATTGGAATACAGTTTAAAGTGACTGAATTTTCCAATTTCAGCTACTGCATTTAACAAGGATACAAACTGGAAAATGGAACTGGTATCATCTAATTGCTTTAGGTTCTTTTAATTATGGTAGTTGGGGAAAATCTTTCCTCGTGGCATTATATAGATCACATTGTTAATGGCTAATATTAATTACAGTGCTCTTCAGCCTTCACTGCACTGAAAAATTCTGGGTGGATGTAGTTCTTTCAAATAATTTAAGTGTTTTGATACATGTTAACTAAAAAATAAATCTTTGGTAATTGGCTTTTGATTATGTAAACATTGTCATTATTATATTTCATTCTTTATTTTATAATTGATATAAATGTTGGAAGTCCAGAAACTGCACATCACACTTTTAAGTTTTATTGTACACTTTAAACAGTGGCATACTTGGCTACAGATACAAATTAATTTTAGATTTGAACATATCTTTTTGTCTGTCATGTTGTCCATTTTTATTTTGTGTGTGTGTGTGTATAATTATAAACCTTTCCATATTGTACAAAATAAAAAGGTATTTCTAAAATTTTAGGAATGATGTCTTCCAACCTTAGCAATATTAGTGTGCTTCTGAGGTTATGCTGTTAAGGAATAAAGTAGTAGTATTTTCAGTGAGCTGTTCTGCCAGTTGCCACACATTCTGAAAAGATCTACTTAAATCTTTTTTGCTAGGCATAATACATAAATGGTTTTATAAAAAAATACAAAACTTTTATAGGAATTCAATCTGAAGCTCTTCAGAGATTTTCATGCTTAACTCTTTTTTGTTAGACTTTAGCCCATAAAATTTACTGTTTCTCTTAAGTTAGAAAATTTCATTAATAGTCACAATCAAGCAGACCCTTTAAAGAGAGGAAATAGACAGTGATAACCAATTGCTGAGCATGTAGTCAAGTACTTTGTAAGAGAAAACTATCCTGTAATCAGTCCTTATTCTGCTTTTCATTCTGTCATGAAGGATGGATTTATTTATTTTAGAGTTCATGATTTTAAACTGCCACTTCCAACTTCTGGAGGCTCTCGATGGTTAACTTGCTTATCTTCTATGACCCGGCATGCTCCAAAGCAAACCTTTTCCACCTGTATTCTCCTAGATTTTACAACCAATCATAGTGATGGTACCAGTTCCATTTTGCCTCCAGTTCAGTTGATTATATATTTTTTCTATTTATTTCTCATTTTATAATTGATATCTAGAATAATCAGAAGCTCTTTTCTCATTTATTTTCTCATATTTTTATTCCAGGATTTGCCTCTGAAGCAGGGAGTGTCTGCATTAAAAATGACCTGTAGTTCTCTGCTTCATAGGTTAGAAACTTATTTTAATATTTTGTGGCTAAGCACAGTCCCACTTTTCAAATTCTATAATGAATTATTTAATTGGCATTGAATGTGGACCACAAGCATATATTTCATATTGGGGTTTTCTTTATTACTTTAAATGATTAAAATTCAACAGAACGTCCAGCTGAGGCAATAAAAGCTTTATTCTTGCTTTACAGCTTGAAACGTTAAATTAGATTTAAAAAATCTTATCAATTGTAACACAAGTAAAATAATGCTATTGGGCATTTTTAAAAATTGCATTTTTAGGCCTTGTATTGCTTGAAGCATCTATATTCTAAAACTTAACCAAATTCCAACTATTCATTTTGGGGAAAAACAATCAGTTCACAAATCACATTTTCAATGGGACTGCTAGCCAGCATAGGTGAAAACATGTATAGTGTATTTACTCTTGAATTGTACACTGCAGATGCTTCTTCAGCTCCCTCTTCTTCCTCCATGGGCGGTGCTTGCAGCTCCTTTACCACCTCTTCCAGCCCTACCATTTATTCTACCTCAGTCACGGACAGCAAGGCTATGCAAGTGGAGAGCTGCTCCTCAGCCGTGGGGGTAAGTAACAGAGGGGTAAGTGAAAAGCAGTTAACCAGTAACACAGTTCAGCAGCATCCATCAACACCGAAGAGGCACACAGTCTTGTACATCTCACCACCACCTGAGGACTTGCTGGATAACAGTCGGATGTCCTGCCAGGATGAGGGGTGTGGATTGGAATCTGAGCAGAGCTGCAGTATGTGGATGGAGGATTCCCCCTCCAACTTCAGTAACATGAGCACCAATTCCTACAATGATAACACTGAGGTACCTCGTAAATCACGAAAACGAAATCCAAAGCAGAGGCCGGGGGTCAAACGACGAGATTGTGAAGAATCTAATATGGATATATTTGATGCCGACAGTGCCAAAGCACCTCACTATGTGCTTTCTCAGCTTACAACGGACAACAAAAGCAACTCAAAAGCAGGAAATGGGTTGGTATTCACATTTTTTAAAGTTCTATCACCATTATGAAAAACAACAACAAAAAATCATTCCCAACTTTTCTAAATTGCTCAGCTTAAGCTTGCATATAAAGCAAACATGCTAATTTTATCATTGAAATACATGAATATTTTAACTTAAAATTACCAAATTTTAGTAGAGAAAAAAATAAGATACAATAGATTATAACAATAGGAATCTTATTATGAATATAGTTAGGTAGCAGAAAATGAAAACAATCTGATTTATATTTTAAAAGGATTTAAAAATATTTTTACTCATAGAAATAACTAGTACTGACTCTAGCTATAACAACATAAAACGTTCACCAAGAGCTAGTTTGTGTTCTCTCTCACATTGTATCCTCATATGGTTTACTCCATTACCTTTTGGAGAGGATTTTAGACTTCATTTTTATTCTTTCTCTTTATTTGATGAAAACAAGAAAATACTAAATTGATGGTTTGATTCTCATCATTTTGGTTCATGTATTTAAAATTTTTTTCTTTAATACATTGTGCCAATTCAGTTTTTTTTTTTTTTAATTACTAATTTTTTTGTGTGTGTGTGATTCTGGGTTGCTTATTTGGAGGATGATGGAACAAGATCATGGTACATGTTTGAGTTTTCTTTCATCTCTGCCAACATATATATTTCAATAGCTTTACTACAGAATATTTATTGCTATAATGCAGAATAGTATGACTTATTTTTAACTTTTAATTCCTTTGGTACTTACATCGTAATATTTAATTGTTAGACGTCTTAAATTAGATTTTCCTACAGTATGTTCAACATAATTTGGTGAAGTTTAACTCACTGGATTTTTGAGAATTAGCTTTTTGGGAGGCAATGTATGATCCTTTAGTTGACATTACAATTTCAGGTTATGAAAATGGTTGAGAAGCTTTAGATTGGTTTACTAGTTGATGACATCATTGATCAGTTTTAAGTTAAAAATATGGCTGAATATCATAGAGAATATTCCTTTTTTTTTTTTTTTTGACCGGTAAGGGGATCGCAACCCCTCAGCACGGTTTGGTCTGCACCATGTTCAGCCAGTGAGCCTATAGGCCATCCCTATATAGGATCCAAACCCGTGGCCTTGGCGCTTCCAGCACCGCACTCTCCTGAGTGAGCCATGGGGCTCACTTACTGTATGTTAAACTTGTCCTTAAATATTCCCTCAGTACATTTTTAAAATAACTTCTACTATTTAAGCAATTAATTATTCTGTACTACTTTCTTTTATATTTTTATTTAAAATTCCTTTACGGTGATGTAGTTAAATAAAAATGCACATTTAAATGCTTTTCAGTTTTAGAAAGTACATATTAGGAAATTACCTAAAAGAAAACAAGGTATATAACCTTTCCTAAAATGTTGCCATTTTAACAGTCAGGAGTTTTAGAACATAATATTTGTAGAGCTGTTACATATAGAATAGTTCTCTGAAACTTAATGAATTACCACAGATGAATACTTAAGTAATTGTGACAGGTAGCATAGATCTAAAATGTTCATGAATACCATTAAAAACCTGTAGATTTATTTGGGCTTCAATGGAGAAAATCTTTTTATAAAATTCCAGAAGAGAAATTTTCATTTTTGTACTGAAATAGATGTTAAAGTTTCAAATTAAGAACAAATAAAATTTTGTCTTAGGGATAGTCAACACAGTGATTTGCAGTTTTTAATTAAAGTGATATCTTGACCAACATCTTCTCTGCTTCTGCTTTTGTATGATAGATATATCTTAGAAATGATTTGAGGTTACCCAGGGAAATAATGACATTTTTCAAGACAAAATCTTTCATGAAATAATTTATGGAGCAGAAACTCCATCAAGCAGCAGAAGAAATGTCCAGCTTCTTAGGTAATGGAAAAATATTTGAATATATGGAAATCATGGAAGAAGTTTAAAATTTAAATTTATGAGAACTATATTGAGGAAAGGATGAAACCTCATGTAAATATGCAGAAATATAGGCCTTTTGAAAACAAATTTTCAGAGCATCTTAAGCTAAAAGCCTCTATCTTCAACAATGAGAAAAATGTTAGAAACATAAAAGAAATTTAAATTTTTTTTTTATTTTTTATTTTTTTTATTTTCTTTTTTTAAAAAGATGACCGGTAAGGGGATCTTAACCCTTGACTTGGTGTTGTCAGCACCATGCTCACCCAGTGAGCTAACTGGCCATCCTTATATGGGATCCAAACCCATGCGTGACCTTGGTGTTATCAGCACCACACTCTCCAAGTGAGCCACGGGCTGGCCCAGAAATTTAAAAATTTTTGAGAGATAAGGTATATAGTCTTCAATCTAATGTGCCATAAGTTTGCAATTTATATAATGCTAGGTATTTAGAAAATGTACTTTCAAATATTGTTTTTAGCAGTTTTTTGATTTTCAAGATACCACATAGAAATCCTGATAGCCCGTGGATAGAAATAGCATTTTTATATAACTAAAATGTTAGAGTTTATTAAGAAAATAAAACTATTAAAAAAAACTGCTCAGTATTTAAATATTCTTAGCTGTATTATTCTTAAATGCTTTGACTAAATGTCAGTAACCCCATTCTCTTCTAGATATTCCTACAAATTAAGATATAAAGTCGTCTATTGGGAGACCTATTTTAGGGATTTTGTAGTGAAAATTATTTTTATGATATAGACAACCAGAAGGATTATGCAGCACAAAGGAGTTAGAATGTCATTTTTAAGACTTCTGAATAGAATATGCCACAACAGTGGATTTTCCTTTTAATTGTCACTTAAAAATAAAATCCCATGTAACTAACTGCTACTTTGTTTTTTCTTAAGCCATCATACCTTAAAAATTAGTAATTTGAATGACTGCTTTTCTAAAAATTAGTTGATGTTTTCATTGTTTGAGATGACCATAGATCTAAATATGTATATATTCCATTTTTACATTTAAACTTAAGGAATAAAGACAGTTTAAATAACTTTTTAAAGTATCATTTTACAGATTGTTTATTTACATGTGCTATTGTTCTTTAAGCTGTAATGTGTATACTTTGTCAACTCATTTAACAGTCATCATCCCAAGTGAGACATTTTGTTTTACTGTAATAGTAAAACTTATTTCACTTATTTACCCTCATAAACATTAGCTTGACTAGCACATATCTTGTCAAGTTCATTGACATGCTTTACAAATTTTCCATATATTTCAAACTAAAAAGTTTTCTCTTTTTTATTATAAAACTGATAGATACGAATTACACATATTTGAAAAATACAAGAAAATAAATAACTGATAATCTAGTCAGTACAACTGCTATTATCATTTTGCTGTATTTTCTTTTAGTTTCTTTGTATGTATATTTGGGGATCTTTTTACATAGTTTCAATGAATGAATATTTTTGCTTTGCTTTTAAGATGAGTATAATACAGAATATCATTATAGAATTTCATATGTAAGGAACTGCACACTATTCAGACCAAATGTTTGAACTTCTACCCAAAATGATGAAAAGAAAAATGGGGTTTATTGCCCATTGTTCCAGCCTCAACTTGATACTTTTTTTCATAGAATTTATTCTGCAAGGGCCTTTTAAATGACTTATACAGGTAATCTTTGACTTCATTGTGTCAAACTTATGTGAATGGCATTCTTGTCCAGTTAGGATCTGGTCTTTCTCATCTTAATATTATAGAAGTTCCTTTCTCCTTCTGTTTTCCTTTCTTTGTGCCTTTCTTTTTCCTGTTTGCCTTCATCAACAAACATATCTTTAGCACCTTTTACATTTCATGAACTGTGCAAAATTCAGGAAATATGAAAATGATTAAGTATAGTACTTGCCCTGAGAACTTTTCCTTTTATCCATTCAGTCTTACTGCTTTCCTATGTCAGTTCCATCCCTTCTTTACTCCATTCTTCTGCCCCTTTTCCTAGCCATCAGGTTCAACCTAGTCCCCATTTCATCGAGGGTACTGCCTTTCCTCTTTGTTCCTGATGATTGAGGCAACAACTTGGTTAGAGCTGGAGGGGTAAGCATTAGAGCCAGGTTGAAGGCTGCTTAGCTTCTCTGTGTTTGAAGACCTAATGTTCCTCCTGGGACCTGGTTGCTTTTGGAGGAGATTTTGTCTAAAGTCATCTCATGGTTCCTGGATCTTCATTGTGAGTCAAAACTTAGGATTGGGAGAGTCACAGAGAAAGCATTTAAGGCCCTTCTCTAATTTAAAAATGTACATGAATAATTTTATATCTATTTCATATTGCTCAAAAGATAACTAACAGTATTATTTTCTACTTATTTTTATCATATATGAGTATTTATAGCACGTCAACAATTTTACAGACTAATTGGTGGCCTAAAGTCCTAATCACCATTTGGGATACTGTTTTTCTTTGAACATATATTCCACACAGCAAATATAAACAAATTAATGTTAGAAGCACAATTTTAAAAAAATTAGATTGCTGATGCTGTAAAGCCCAGGTTATAAAATTTTTATTGAGAGCTTTATTATTTTAACTAATCACAAAAATACTCTGAAAAATCACACTTCTGGGAAAGATTGTTTAGAGTAAAGCCAATTTCCCAATAAAAATCAAATCACTGATTTATTTATTATAATTTTCTCCAGTTTGATTTGCTGAGAAAGATATCCAAAAGAATATGATACATATAACTTTGTATGTTTTTTGGGCCTTTTTTTGGTGGGGCGTTTTTTTTATTTATTTTTATTTTTTTTGCTACCCGCACTTTTTCTTTTGCTTTGCAGGTCTGATTAGAAAAAATAGTAGATAACTTTATAGCTTTATAAGACTCACATATATATATAATTTTGAAATTGTACTTTGAGTGAAGTGGAACCTAAAAGGTTATAATGATGGTAGCTATTTTTTGCTGTTATTCCCAGATTATTGCACTCAATCTTCCTCCAAGCACAGGCATTCTTTCTCTTTTCTGTCCAACTTTCTTTTATACTTGTATCATACAGTTAAATTTTGTTACAGAAATTTTAAAGATACTTTGCTTATAGAATGTATCTTCCTTTAGGCTGTATTTTATTTTGGCAGTAAGCTAAGCCTTGTTTTTATTGTTATCGCTTATTCTATTTCTTCCTTTATCTTAGATGGATTTTGTAGAAAACTCTTTTTGATACTTTCTCCATGTTGTGCTTTGATTTCTCAGAACATTGGAAAACCAAAAAGGAACTGGAGTAAAGAAGAGCCCTATGTTGTGTGGACAGTATCCTGTCAAAAGTGAAGGAAAGGAGTTGAAGATAGTTGTACAACCTGAGACCCAGCACAGAGCCCGGTACCTGACTGAGGGCAGCCGTGGCTCAGTAAAAGATAGAACACAACAAGGCTTTCCTACAGTAAAGGTATTTATATTTAGCAATATGTGAAGAATTTTTTCTAATACTGCTTCTTATTTTGTTATTAATCAGCAACGGCTGCCTAAAACAGAAGGGTAGAATTACTAGCTATATATAATAGAAAGTAAAGTAAAAGCCAGACTGGACCATAAGCCAAATATTGTTACTTTGATATCATTTGAATTTCAGTTTAAATGAAAAGAGAGATGAGAATAGATTCTGAAAAGTAAAATATCTGCAAACCATGAATTAGCTTCCCCTTATATTTGATACTGGAATTATATTTGTCTCAAACTTTATATTTAAGAAGAGATATTAAAGTGAATTCAAAGAAATACAGTAGAAATGATTAAGGATAGGGAAAATAAGATTTGTGAGATGGCTAATGTAATCAGAACTATTCAACTCAGAAAAGAATTGGTTGATATGTAACTTAAGTCTTCACTTAAAGAAATAAGATACCAACTGAGCCTTAATCTTTTTAGAACTCAGTCCAAATGTAAAGAAGGGGCCTAAGTTTCAGCACCTGGGATATCTTGTTGTAAACAATATTTTTCTTTGAAGACAAACCAAAAAAAAAAAAAAAAATGTACAGGGGGATATTTAAAAAGTGTCTCTACCCCTTGCAAAATACTAAACAGGGAGGAATTTTGGCTAGTCACATGATAGATTCTTATTAAATACAGTTTGTGTAAGTTTGTTAGTTGAAAAATATTTCAAGATCAGAGTAGAATATTTCAGATCAGATCCCTTTCATTTTATACATGAAAAAAATTATGGTTTAATCTCAGGATCAGAAAACTTGACTGTGACCGTTTATAAGGTTGGTTAATAGTCACATGTACAATATCCTTCTTACCCCTCTTCACTACCCACTACCCCAACTTATCCCCAATCCCTCAACCCCAGGACAAGTAAAAGGCAAGAGAGAAATTTAAATTATTCTTTGTGTAAATATTTGTCTAGCCAGACATTGTGATAGTTTGCTCAGTATTTTTAACCTAATTGCTGTGACTTTGTTATGCTTTGAACTTACCTGGTTAGAAGTACTGAATTGCCTGACTATGATAGAGAATGAATTCGCTGGCCTTAAAAGTTTATTTATTCATTATTCAACAAATACTGCACACCTCTATGTGCCAGGTACTTTCTAGGCAGTAGTTTGCTTATTTGTTTGCTTATTTGTCTCATTATGGTATCAGTTCACCAAGATACAACTATACTGGGATAGAAAAGGTGTGTGAGTTTTTTGAAGTACTTTGGTGTACATTGTACAAGTTATTTTGTCATTTTCTGCATTCTGTACTAGCAGTTTCAATTTTTAACTATAAGTCTTATCAAGAATCAGGATTGTAAATATTTGTTCTCAGATGCCATTTTAAATATTTATTTATTCTTCAGCATACTAATTATAATTTAATTTATGAAGGCTTGCTAGAGATCTGTAATGATCCATAGATCTTTGTTTAAACTAGCAGTTTTTCAGTCCATAATGTTTTAGCCCAGGATTTCATGATGTATGTATGTATCTAGTCTATGAAAATCAGCTTTGTTTCCATGTTATTCATGTAGCTGCATTTCAACCACTTTTCTACTCAAGTAGCCTTGGTAGAGTGAAAATTCAGTGTGTGTGCTCTTATTTGATGATGAAGGTGGTGCCACTCACACAGTTTAGTGAATTTTTCCATTAGTAGATCCTGAGTAACCCACATGCTGCCTAAAGAACTGTGTGTTCATTCTTATCTGCTTGTACAAATAAATTATAAATGATCATTTATCATCTAACATCTAACATTTTTATTGCAGAACTAAAACTATAGTGTTCTGCAGAAACAGCCATCTCTGCTTTAAAAAAATATATTATTTCTATTTTCTTGAGGATTTAAATTATTTCTTTAATGTAATCCAGTTACAGATATAGGATTTGGTCTTAAGTATTTAATTTTACAATTTGATTATTTGAAATGCTAATTAGTGTTTCTGCTGTGTGTTATCTGGTTCCAGCTGGAAGGCCATAACGAACCAGTAGTGTTGCAGGTATTTGTGGGCAATGACTCTGGTCGAGTGAAACCACATGGATTTTATCAGGCCTGCAGGGTAACTGGACGAAATACAACTCCCTGCAAAGAAGTGGACATTGAAGGCACTACTGTTATAGAAGTTGGCCTTGATCCTAGCAACAACATGACACTGGCGTAAGTACTTCCTAAGAAGTTTTTCATTATATATTACACTTTTGTGGTAGCCAGGAAAATTTTTCAGTTTCTAGTGTATAAAAGATTTGGAGTATTTTACTAAAATGTTTTAAATAATACAAGTAAAAAAAGAAATTACCACAGAATGGTAGGTAATTGGTTAAAATTAACTCTTTGACCTTAGCAAAGAATTCTCATGGTGAAAGAGAAAACCAGGTGGAATACTGGCTTTTCGGAAAATTACAAAGACTTACTTATTGGGATTTATAATATTAACATTGAAAATAAAAATTACAAATGACTTGATTTGCTTTCCTAAATTTCACTTTCTTAATGTTTGCTTTAGAAACTGTTCAACAGAAACCATGAAGTGCCTTGACCCATGTTGATGTCCCATATTGCTGATCTGAATTCACCTCCTGTTTTTATTCTCCTGTGTTTTAAAAAATTATCTACCGAGACTATGTATTTTTCATCTTATGCATTTTCACTGCCTGAAAAATATTTGAAGTGTTAAATTTTAAAATTAATTCTTTCTTAAGCCTTTTGTAAAAGACTTAATCCTAAAATTGAACTGCAACAGCAGCAAATATATTGGTATGGGGTAGACCTGTGTTGTAATTATTTGTATTAGATAGCTGCTAAGGACTTTTATCTACTTGGTTTTCAGTTTCCTTTGGAAAGGCATTTTGAATAGTTTGGAAAAGATTAATTGGGAAAAGGAAATTTTGAGAAATATTTAGTAAAGATTTATTTTTTAACTTGTAACTTATGAAGATTATAAAAATAAATACAGGGTTGGCCAGTTAGCTCATTTGGTTATAGCATGGTGTTATAACACTAAGATTAAGGGTTCAGATCCAAGTACTGGTCATCTGCCAATAAATAAATAAATGTATATAGTGGGGGATGAAAGGAATAGAATTACTGATTATAAAAATAGTACTTTGTTATAAGAAAGTTGAAAACTAAGAATAATAAAAAGCTAAAAACATACCCTTCAAAACCTAACTTCCCTGAAATAACTACTATTTTAATATTTTTATCTTCCCAGTCTTTTTTGGACAAAATTGAGATAATATTATGCCCATTGCTTTGTAACCTGCTTTTTTTTCTTTTCCCCCTCTCTCTCTGACCAGTAAGGGGATCACAACCCTTCGCACAGTGATGTCCGCTCCATGCTCAGCCAGTGAGTGCACCGGCCATTCCTATATAGTATCCGAACCTGTGGCCTTGGCGCTACCAGCGCCGCACTCTCCCGAGTGAGCCACGGAGCTGGCCCATAACCTGCTTTTTGCTGAACGTATTATGAGCATTTTCCCATATCATTAAATGTTATATCATAACATACTTTTTTTTTTTTTTTTTTGTCTTTTTCCGTGTCCGGCCACGGATCGCAACCCTCAGTGTTGCCCCCGTACCGGACCAGGGACCGGCAACGGGATCGCAACCCTTGGTGCTGCTCCCGCGCCTCGCTCAGCCAGTGAGCGGGAACCGGTCTGTATGTGGAATCCGAACCCTCGGGCGGGAGCGCCGCCACGCTTCCCAAGCAGCGCACTATCCAGTGCGCCACCGGGCCGGCCCCATAACATACTTTTTAATGGCTGTATAGTATTTCATCCTTTTGGGGACAGTTACTAATTTTTTTTTAAAGTGAAATCTATTCTATTTTAATATGAGAACTAGCTGCAAAAGGAAAGAGGCTACATTTATTTTTTTAAAAAAACTAGTAAATCTAGGGCCGGCCCGGTGGTGCACTGGAGAGTGTGCCGCTTGGGAGCGTGGCGGCGCTCCCGCCGAGGGTTCGGATCCCATGTGGAGACCAATTCCCGCTCACTGGCTGAGCGCAGTGCGGGCACGACACTGAGGGTTGCGATCCCGTTACCGGTCAGTAAAAAAAAGACAAAAAGGAAAAAAAAAATAGGAACATAAGTACTGGCATATAAGAGACTTACTAGTTTGTTTGTTTTTTGGGGTTTTTTTTAGATTTACTAGTTGTTATTTTTTTTTTTGTCTTTTTGTCTTTTTTTTACTGACCGGTAACGGGATCGCAACCCTCGGTGTCGCGCCCGCACTGCGCTCAGCCAGTGAGCGGGAATCGGTCTCCACCTGGGATCCGAACCCTCGGCGGGAGCGCCGCCACACTCCCAAGCGGCACACTCTCCAGTGCGCCACCGGGCCGGCCCTATGTTCATATTTTAAAATAGTGATTTTACTATTTCTTCTACTATTATTATAAATGAAAGGTTGACAAATTTAGGAACTATGAATGTTTAGAATTTACCCTATTGTACTTTTTCAATTTGGAACCTTATGACTGTGTTACATATCCAAAGACTTAAAAGATAAGCAAATTTTTAGGGCCGATCCAGCGGCGCACTCGGGAGAGTGTGGCGCTGGGAGCACAGCGATGCTCCCGCCGTGGGTTCAGATCCTATATAGGGATGGCAGGTGCGCTCACTGGCTAAGCGCGGTGCGGGCAACACCACACCAAGGGTTGCGATCCCGTTACCGGTCACGAAAAAGACAAAAAAAAAAAAAAGATAAGCAAATTTTTTAAAAAAGAAACTTGTTTGATGCAACAGATGATATGTTTTTTCCTGTTAGAGTGGACTGCGTAGGGATATTGAAATTGAGGAACGCTGATGTTGAAGCCAGAATAGGAATTGCTGGTTCCAAGAAAAAAAGTACTCGTGCCAGACTGGTGTTTCGAGTTAATATCACAAGGAAAGATGGCTCTACTTTGACACTGCAAACACCCTCTTCTCCAATTTTGTGTAGTAAGTAACAAAATATGGAGATATTAAATATATGGGGTTCTTTTTCATTTTCTATTAATCTTTCAGACGTCTCTAAAGTTTAGATGTTTTACATAACTCAAGCTTGTGATCATGCAAAATTTGAAATATTTTAAAAGCTGTAGTCAGATTTTCTAGACTAAACTAAAAGTGAGTGATTGGAATAAAATTCAAAAGGTGTGTAGCATTTTGTAGTTTCCTATTACCCTCATATACTGATTTAAAAAGTAATTTGAATAGGTTACCAGAGCAAATTGCAAAGTCAAAGGACTTTCCAAGCATTTTCACTGTGTGGTAAATTGCTCTGGTCCTGTTTCCTGTTAGAACATGAGAGTAATGTCAGCAGAACTTTGTAAATAACAGCATGTCAGAAGTTCTGATTACAAAGTATAGTATTAGATAGTATATAGTGGGGAAGTGGAAAATGAAATTTTTATCACTAACCTTGGCATAGAAAGAAAATAATGTGTATGTGTGCTTGCATCTGTATGTGTGTGTCTAAATTCAATGCTATTGTTATATGTGTCTCACCATAATTGTAGTTTCTCTCTAATGATTATTATTACAAGCAATAAATAGGGAAATTTTCTCTTTATCCATCACTTAAGGAGATTTTCATTATGGATTATTTTCTTTGGCATTGCTTCTTTATAATTTATACCTGAATTCAAAAGAACAAAAGAATTCCATTTGGTTGAATTTCCTGTTGGTTTGCTATGGGTGTTATGACCTTGCTATGCGTTGGACAGTTACAAAGTCTTCGTTATTTAATTGTAGCTTAATTTTGTCAAACTATTCATCCTTTATAAATCATATTTTCTCTTTCTTTTCATTCATATCAGTAATTATTATAGCTATTCTTTAGCTTAGCAAACACCCTAATTTAAAAAAGAAATTACTAGCAATATCTTTCTGATCTGAAGAGGGCTCAATTGGATTTCTCTATTTTGCATTATTACTAAAATTTTGTTTTTATATTAGTATTTCCTTGGGATCTTTTCTGTGTAATGTTGACTTATATATAGGCTGTTTTAAAGTTTGGATATTCCATGTCCATTCTATCACACTCAGATAAAGACAGAATAATCTATAGATGGTTTATTGAGTTGTAAAGCTTTTTCTTTTCTATTTTTTTTTTTTTTAATTTTTATTGAATCATAATTGATTATACATATTTTGGGGGTTCAACATTGACATATGTTGACCAAATCAATATTACTAGCATATATATTGTTACAAATCATACTTATTCTTTATGCCCCTTATCCAATCTCTCCCTGTCTCCCTCTCACTCCCCCCTTCCCACTCTGGTAACTCTTTCCTTCTGAAAGAGTAATGGTTACTTTGTGGATTTGTTGCCTAGATCTGTCCAATGCTGAGAGGTGTGTTCAGGTCCCCCAATATTATTGTAGAGGAGATGCTTCTTCTGTTACTCTGGAATGGGCTTTGTGGAGAGAGGCATCCTCTTCTTTTCTTTGGTTTCTGCTGGTGTCTCTCCTTGTGTCAATGTACTCCAGTGGCTGGCGGACCATCTGCATGGTAATTGCGGTGTCTAGCTGCTTTTGCAGCAGCTATAGTTATTGTGGCTGTGGTGGGCCACCCACATGGAGGTGATGTTTTTGGCATACTCCTTGGTGCTGGCAGTGTGCCTAATTGGGGGGGGTGGTCCAGTCCCCAAGTCCATGCCTCAGGTCACCAGGCAGGCCCCAAGGCGCTGGCAGTGTGCGTGGGCTGGAACTAATTTTTTGTCCTTTGGTTACTTCTAAAATGGGGTGACTTCCTATGGGAACCAGTACTTGAGCTGTGTGGTTTAGCTAAATTGCTGCTTTGATGCTGATTCCCTAGGGAAGGCTTTCTGTGCAGCTCAGGTTTTAATGGTTGACTTTATAGGTATTTCCAGCTTCTAACTGGGTTGCATAGAAACTGTGATCTGGGCCTGAGTCTTCATCAAACTTCACCCCATGCAATTCTATACTCCTGACCAATCTCTTCTGAATGGTCCTGAGCTGATTGAGGAGCAGATTGGCTGTCCTTGACATGTCCCAGTGTTCTCCTGGTGGGCCCATCTCCCCCACCGCCCATGCTGCAAACACTTCTGATGGGACAGGCCATGCGCTGGCCCCTTGTGATGACTCACCAGCCTCTGAATGGCTCCTTTTTTTCAGTTGTTGTGGCTCCTCACTCCTGTGTGGGTCCACGGGAACCCTATTAGTGGCCTTGCTGTCCTGGGAGCCACCAAGGCTCCCTTTTCCCCTGCCGCCTCCAAGCAACTCCATCCGAAGGGCACAGCTGTGGCTTTTGTTGGTTCCTGCTCCATGCACTCAGCAGCTCCAGCCTTAAAGCAGCCCTAACTCTCCAAGGAGTTTTTTCTTTCTTTCATTGTGGCTTCTCCCATCTTCATGCAACTCCATAGGTCTCTCCTCCTCTTCCCCTGAGGTCTAGAAGCCCCAGCTTGGCTGTTGTTGCTTTTCTATAGTTGTAAATTGATTGATTTGTGGGAGAGAGTGATGCTGGGGACTGTCTATTCCACCATCTTGACTGGAAGCCTGTAAAGCTTTTTCTAATTGGGGTGCTACAATTCTGAATTTGCTGTAATTCATGATATACCCCAACTTGAATATTATTAGGATGGAGTTACAGTTTTAGTGGGTCATATGCAGTTTTCTTACGTGACCTAATACTTTGAGCATGACCATAGCCACTCTCTGAAGGCCAGAGCCAGGCAGTGCTAAATAGTTCAGATCATACTACTTTAGCAGAGACTAAAAAATGTTACCAACTTTATTTCATTGTTCTTTCCTTCCATCATTAGTTTGTTCATTCATTTCTTTTTTTCCTATTTTGTTAAGGTATTTTTAATATATGAATATATCCAGCTAAAGGTGGTAGAAGATATAAAAGAAATAGAAAATGTGATTTTCTGAAATCTTTCATCAGCAATTATCATTTTAAAATTATCACCGTTAATCTCAATGTGTCCACATTGCAAATGTGTACATTTCCCTGGGAAGCTGTGTCTGGGGTGGATATGATAGACCTAAGCAGCAGCAACATAGAATGGAAAGCATATGTAGCTAGTAATAAAAGCTACCATGTTTTGGTCGGCCGGGTGGCGCACTGCTACAGTGCGCCGCTTGGGAGCACGGTGGCGCTCCCGCCGAGGGTTCGGATCCCACATACAGACCGGTTCCCGCTCACTGGCTGAGCGAGGTGCGGGCGCAACACCGAGGGTTGCGATCTCGTTGCCGGTCCCAGTCCGGTACGGGCGCGACACTGAGGGTTGCGATCCGTTGCCAGTCACGAAAAAAGAGACAAAAAGAAAAAAAGAAAAAAAAAAAAAGCTACCATGTTTTGAACTCTGGCTTTGTGCCTGGAATTTGTTAACTATGTTATAAGCATTATACAGGTTGAGTATCCCTTATCTGAAGTGCTTTGTACTAGAAGTGTTTTAGATTTTGGATTTTTTTCGTATTTTGGAATATTTGCATTATACTTATTAGTTGAATATCCCTAATCTGAAATGCTCCAAAATTTGAAACTTTTTGAGCACCAACATAACACTCAAAGCTCATGCTCAAAAAAATGCTCATTGGAGCATTTTGGATTTTTGATTTTTAGATTAGGGATGCTCAACCTGTATCATCTAACTCTCACCATCACCTTATCTGGATTCCATTCTGCAATTGATGACACTGAGACTTAAAGAAATTAAATAACTTTCTCAACATCACATAGCTAGTAAAAAGCAAGACCAGGATTCAAACAAAGCCTTTGACTTTAGCCACTATGCTTTATTGACATCACAGTCACTTAAATTGCAGTGTTGAAACCAAGTTTGAACAATTCACTTCATCCTAGCCGTGGCCTCTGGGTAGTTAAAACTATGGTTACAGTTTGCAATTATTGTTTAGAGAACTGTTTCTTCTACCAAAAATATTTATATTCTGTAATTTGGACTTTTTATGAAGGTAGAAAGTTGATTTCAACTTATATTAGGGTATTTTACTGAATAATCTATGTTGTCCCTACCATTTCCTTTTGTTGATGCTATTTTGTGGAAGTGTAAGATATATATTTTTATTCCTTTAATTGACTACTTGCCACTTATCTTGCCATCTCTTTTAAATGGCAGACTGGATTATATAAACATAGACAGTAACTTCTTTTAAAGAAAATAATACCATCATGATGGTTCCCATGCCTCTTTTAGGAAAGAAAGTACTAGAAAAATAATTAATTTACAAATAAGTTTACATAATAAAGAATTTTAATATTTGTTTCTTATTACTGTTTTCATAGAATTTCATTTAAAATGATTTTTTTCTTAAAATGTATAACTAGCTTAAAAAATTTCTAATAGGGGCCGGCCTGGTGGCACACTGGAGAGTGTGCCGCTTGGGAGCACGGCAGCACTCCCGCTGAGGGTTTGGATCCCATGTGGAGACCAGTTCCCGCTCACTGGCTGAGCGCGGTGCGGGCACAACACCGAGGGTTGCAATCCCGTTGCCAGTCCCTGGTACGGGCGCGACACCAAGGGTTGCGATCCCGTTACCGGTCAATTAAAAAAAAGACAAAAAGGAAAAAAAGAAATTTCTAATAGTAACTTCCATGAGTATCAATTAGATTTAATCATTTAGGCAAGAGCCTAAGCCTCTTGATCTGCATACTCCTCCTAATGTAATGGTTTAATGATTTTGTTGTTGTTTTTTTGGATGATTGGCTGGTACGGCTATCCTTGACCTTAGTGTTACCAACACCGTGCTCTAACCACCTGAGCTAACTCGCCAGTCTGATTTGATTTTTTAAAAAATCCATTATTCTAGGGCCGGACCGTGGCTCACTTGGGAGAGTGTGGTGCTGATAACACCAAGGCCACGGGTTCGGATACGGTATAGGGATGGCTGGTTTGCTCACTGGCTGAGCGTGGTGCTGACAACACCAAGCCAAGGGTTAAGATCCCCTTACCTGTCATCTTTTAAAAA